AGCAGTCATGAACCAGACTGAAGTATGCAGTAATTGATTAAAACCAGACATGTCACGGTTGCTTTTTATAGATCCAATTAAGTGTCAGCCTAATTAATGGAAGTTAGTGCACTAATTATAAGAGTCTGCATTATGACTCAGACTCAAACAAATGTTGTGCAAGAAATGTCAGAAATTTTTTTTCAGACAGCCAAGATAAATAATTACACTTCTTTTTGTTACTTCTTAGCAACAGGAATGTTATACAACTGGACATCATTCCTGCAGCTGCATTCAGAAGAATTTAAAATTGTACAGTGTAGAGCAAATATTTGTTTAAAGACAATGTAATCTGTGTCATCATTAGCAAGTCGTTTTGGAATCAAATTTTAAGAGCGTGTGTTGCCAGACTGCTGAGAATGAAGCCTCTTTTATGGAAGGCAGCCTCAAACACATCTCTTTTGAGCTCTGTAGTGTTTTCTTGAACATCAAAATGACAGCTCTCTCTCATTCTCCATCCTCCATGCTTTGAAAAACACTGAAGTACTGGCATTTCAAAAGTGAAATCAGGGTGATTTTAGTACCTTCTGCAAACAACAGGAAATTCACTGAGTTCAGCTCTCTACAAACTCAGGCAGACACAGCCAAAATAGTCTGGATGACTGAAAGGCTTTTTAGACCCTCTCTGCAACCTGCAAAACCAGTTGTAGGATTGCAGAGAACATCTGGATTAGGCAGAAGAGCAGCAGAACAGATGATGGTTTAGCAATCAAGGGGATGTGCTTGAGGAGAGAGGGATTAATTATGATACATCTAAACCAAGTTTGATAAATAGATGTTAGCAGGCAGAAGTCTGAATGAAGGGCTGAGATTTAAGTTAGCAGGAAAAAACAAGTCCTCGGGATGTTGAACTGAAATGGAACTAGAGAGATAATTCACCAAGATGATATTGTGCCTGAAATAAGTGGCGAGGACAATGAGAACAAAGGCAAGAAAAAAACTTAGAAGAAAATTACTCGGGCTGGAAGGGACCTCAGGAGGTCATTGGTTCAGTCTTCTGTTCAAAGCAGGGGCAGCAAGAAGGCCAGAGCAGCTCAAGGCTCCACCTAGCTGCGTTTCTGATGAATCTCATAAATCTTTTTCAATGCTTGACTGAATTTCTCCATTATTTTCCTCGCTATGTCCACTCAGAACTTCACTTTTCTCAACTTATCCCCACTGCTTCTTGTCCTCTTGTCATTCACCACTGCAAAGAGTGGGCCTGTCTTCAGAGAACCTCCTTGCAGGTCCTAACAGGCTGATATTAGCTTGCCCTTCAGCCTCTTACCCATTTGCAGGAAACTTCAACACAATGTGTGATGAACAAGAGAGGAGAAACCTAGTGAAGGTCTGATAAGAGAGAAAAGAAACAGGGCTAAGGAGGACAAGGAATGATGAGATAACTTATTCTGCCATTTAGGAAGGGGATATCTCCCAGAAGTTTTAGGAAAGGCTATTTTATTCAAGTTCATGATGCAAAAGGCAGAACAGACAGGGCCTGGGATGAAATGTGGCACAAGGGAAAAACACTGATGTTAAACTATTAACAAGAGGGGCTGAAAAGAGAGGAGCAGGTACAGCCTGTGGGAAAGGCGAAAAAAAATTACTGCAGCCAGCAAGCTTTACTTATTGACAACAAATGGCTTTGGCTGTCTCCAGTATGGTTCTGATTCATCTTCAGCTGTCACAGACTCTCCAGCCCAGTTCAGGTCCCCAAGGGGGCCTTTGTCCTCACCAGAGGATTGAGGGGCAAGGAAATACCACATGGACTTCACAGCAAACCAACAACATTTCAAACCAGACATCAGGACACAGACAGCCCTACACTTGTACCGCACACACTGGCTACTGACTCATCAGAGACCAAGGAGACTGAAGGGGAGAGCTGTATTACTGAATAAAGACTTTTCTGGAGACCTTAAAAAGCCCATGGATTTACAGCAGCTGACAATGATTCAGACATGCTGAGCAGACAACCTAGATGCCGTCACTGCTAAGATGAGGCACAGTGAAATGAGAAGTTGTGCCAAGTAGGCCGCTCGTGTCACACTGAGAGACAAGATGAACTCCTCTGACCTTGCCTTCAGTAACAAGCACACACAGCACAGCAGACGGTCAATAAACGCAGGAACAGCTCTCTTCCCACTTGTCCTCAAAGAAAAAAAACTCGCCAACTATCAATGGCTCACTGCTTTCTCCTGTGATCAGGAATAGCACCCCAAGCAACCCTGCTACGAAACAGAGCCCTGAGCTCTGGACAACACACAAACATGGGCATCCAGGTGATTCCCTGTGGTCTGCTGATAAACTCTCTGCAAAGACACAGAAGATGTGATCCCAGACTCATCAGGTAAGTTCCTCCATACCTCCCTTTCCAGCCTTTTCCAACCACAGCTTGGAGGTTGCTCATGAGCTCTGTAAAGGTAAAAGCTAACCCCAAAATTACAGGACTGCCTACTTGACCTTCTGCTCCCCTTCTACATCCACCTCTCCAAGGACAAATTCTTACCTGCCTCTCATACCTATCCTGCTTCACCTCTACTTTCTAATGGACTTCTGCAGGATCTGTCTCTCTCCCAAGTCCTACAAGTCACGAGAGAATATGGGTCAAGACTGGATGGGGAAGGTTCTCAGCATTTCTATCTCAGTCTCCTCCCACAAATTTTTGGGAACAAAGTGTTCTCGAGAGCCTTAAGACTGCAACACTCAACATTATATTTAAGCTGAAGTAATTTTTGAAGACAAGATAATTTTAGACATGAAGAATTTAGTCTGGCTAAAACAAAGGATAAATTTCATGGAATCAAATCCAAAACAGATAAATCTTTACTGTTTTACCTGATTTGTTTATTGGGAAGACCAGAATATTTCCATTTTGAAGGTGGAAAACTCACTTTTTACTAGTCTAAGACTAAGGGTGAAAGAGTCAAGCGTGTCAAAGAGAGAGTTCTCTTTCATAATGGGTTTGGTCTTCATCAACACTGAATTTTCCCAATAAATTAACTAAATTAGTACAGTGAGTAGCTGGCATGAAATCAGCACAACAACCCTTATCTGAAGGCACATTCTTCTGAGCTGTTGTAATGTGGATTCTCCTCAGACATGGTACTTCAGCCAAATCACTGCTGGCCAGCTGGACTGCTGATAGAGCCTGTCAGAGACCAGATCTCAGGCAGGTAACACTGCAGTTGTTTGCCACGTACTAAGGGGGGGTTTCATCATGAACTAATGGTGACTTCAAAAACTTTTAAAGTGATCGGTTATTGTGGAGTGGAAATCTTCTCAAAATGGGAGGGATAAAATCCTAGCTTTAGAAAATGTGAACTTTAAAGATTGGCCTTTTAATCTGGGAGTATTTTAATATATATTTAATATTTATTTATTTAATATATTTATTAAATATATATTTAATATTTAATATATTAATCTGGACCTGTATTTCTAAGAGTGTTTGCTGTCCATACCTCATATGCAATGTTGAGAATCAGAGATGGAGTTTTTTTATGTAATCACTGTAGCACAGTTTATTGGCTGCTGACAAATAGCTGCAGTGAAATTGTTCAAAGGGCAATTTTTGCATACAAACCAAAACATATAAATTTTTTCAGAAATCTCTTGCCTGCCCAGTTTGTTCTCCCTGAGTGACGTGGTCCCTTCTCAGACCACCTCAATGTCTGTGATATGCTGAAATACTGAGGCTAGACATTCTTGATAGACAGGGTGCTTTTCATGTGGTGCCCTGCCTGCTGTGGCCAAACCACAGGTCACTTGCCAGCAGAAGACTGGTCTCATCTCAGATATTAGCTGGGGAAGGTTAATGAGGAAGAAGTTTGTTTAACTGAAGAGGGGGAGATTTTTGTCCCTGGAAGATGGGATGGCATGAACTTGTATGCGTTGTGACCTTTACTGAAAGGCGTAATTCCACAATCCAAGTAAAAGAAAGAATGTGGATTCTAATGATCAACCTGAAATACAATCTCACTCTATTACATCAGGCTGTACCCCTTAAATAGTACACAGCCTGCTCTAAGATAAAGCTAAACTCGGCAGATTGCTTGTCTGGTAAATACTTTTTCCATTGATATCACTCAGATGCACCTTGCTCTCAAAGGATGGATAAATAAAAAAATCAGCATCTAAATAAAAATCTTCAGCATGCAGTACATTACAGCTTCATGTTCCTATTTTACAGTAGTGTTTTGTTCTTACAGACATTTTGAATGAATCTAGGGCCATATAAATTTAGATGTGTTTATTCATAATGGAGCATAGCTGTTCTGGGAACCTGCTCCTTTTATTTTTATTTAAGTGCACTGAGTTTTTGAGGCCTGCAGCTCAAGTGGTATTGAATCCCTTCAGACTTCAAAAATAAATGAAGCTCTTCTAGATGCAAAAGCACTGCACTGATAGATCACACAGCATTAGCTCTCTAGATGCTATGAGACCCTCCAGAGCATAGAATCACCAAATGATTTTGGAAGTGACCCCAAAGACAATGTTGTTCTAACTCCCTGGCTACAGGCAGGGACACCTTCCCCTACCAACACCCCCATTCCTGGATGTGTTCAAGTTTCTCTGGTAAACCTGTGTCAGTGCCCCACCACTCTCAAGTAAAGAATTTCTTCCTAGTATCTAATTCCAACCTTTCCTCTTTCAATCTGAAGCCATCCCCCCTTGCCCTGTCACTCCATGCTCTTGTCCAAAGCCTATCCTCAGTTCTTTTGTAGCCCCTTAGGTACTGGAAAGGGCACTAAAGTCTCCCTGGAGCCTTCACCAAGCTGAACAATCCCAGCTCTCTCAGCCTGTGTCCACACAAGAGGTGCTCCAGCCCTCCGTCCAGGCTGGCCTCCCAGCACCCATCATCCAGCCACTGCCACTCAGTCCATTTCTGGCAGATAACCATGGCAGATATGTAATGGATACCAAAATTACCAGTTGGGAATATCCCACAGACAAAGATGAAAACTTCTAATTTTACTCACCCTGCCATTACTTCCAAATGGAGCTGGCCAGAAACTGTCAGGAAGGCAGGCACATTGAAGAAATGGGTCTTTTCCACAGACTCCTTTGCCTCTCTTGATGTCTGTAACAATGAGGAACAAGTCAGACCATTGGTGTTTAAATAAAAAGCACAGCACCCAGCTTATTTTCCCTTTTTTCAAAGCATCAATTTTCACTTTCCTACCAAAATGAACAGAGAGGAGGAAGAGAAGAATCTCTATCATTTGTAGTTTGAAACTTCATATAGCATTGCCTTCAAAATTCAATTTCAAGCCTGATGAGAAAATGGAGGAGTGTTTTCTGTGTCAGTCCCACTGACTTTCAGAAAAAAACTTTAAACACAGTGTTATTTTCTTTTCACAGGGAAATGAATTTGTTTCCACTGGAAAAAGACAAACAGTAATCCAAAAAAAAAAGCAAAGCAATATCCTCTTAAGATTTGTAATTCAGTCTTCAAAAGTATCTCAACTGAAACAATATTAATTCAGAGACATCACAGCTTACATATTATATAGGCAGTGAAAAATAAACTATGTTTCATTTCAGCTTTTGCATGCTTTTTTCAGGTCATCAGATATTTTATGCATAAAAATCTACAAGTAATAGAAAATTTAACAAGTTCAGTGCTCCATTATGAAAAACCTCAAAAGAAAAAAGAAGTCCCAAGAGACAACAGGCATAGATTTTTAAAAAGACACACAAAAATTCATCTGAAAACAAGAACAACCTTTAATATTTACTGTGGTGTCAAGCACTAGAACAGGTTGTCCAGAGAGGCTGTAAAGTCTCCATCTGGGGAGATATAAAAAACTCAGCAGCAGAGTACTGGACAACTTGCTCCAGCTGACCCTGTTTGAGCACAGTGAGATGGATTCGATGATCTCTAGAGGTCACAACTCAGTGACTTTTAAAGAAACATGAAGACAGATGATATTGTGTTTCAACATCTTGTATATTTCAATGTCATCCCTAAACTTTGGAGGAGACAAAGGTTCAAGAGGAAAACAGAATGAAACTTCAAAGCTAATCTGAGGTCTGGCTGATCTACATTCACTTCCAACTTCTGAAATAAATTTGAAATACCCAAGGTGTAGCTCCTAGGAGTCATGCTAAGTGTTGCTAATTCAGCTAAGTATGCCACTGCCTCCAGCCACCTCACTCCCTAACTTGCTCTGTCACAGGGAGCCTTGTTTGCCAGCCTTTGATAGCCTACAACCTGCCATTTTTCTCTATGAGCTTGAAGGTGTTGCTTTTGTTCTCAAAAAGCTCTGCTGCTCATCACAAAGATAAAACAGTGACTTCCAAAAACCTCAGATCACAAGGCAGTTTTATCTCTTCACAACATCACACTGAAGAAAAGAGCAAGCTTGCCTTGTTCCACAGAGATCAATGAAAATATGACAAATTGTGGCTCTAACCCCAGGACTGCTTCCTTTGCTTCAGAGGTTTTGAGGTTCTAAAAAAACCAAACACCAAACTTCGAGGATGCAGAAGCAGGTCCCTACTGTTTTCATCAAATAAACCCAGAGCATTTGCTCAAAAACAATAAATATATTAATAAACATCAAACATTCACATACTGCAGAACCATGGCCAGAAGACTACAGAGAAGGGCCATAGTTTCTGGTTTCTCTTTTCCTGAAAGTTTAGTTCAGACCTTCCTTGTTTCACCAGTGAAAAATCCCACCTAATCCTGTAGGATGCAACTTCTAAACAATGACAGAGAGACAAACTGGAATCAAGAAAAGAACAAGAAATCAGCCACAAAATCTCAATGCTTCCCCCCAAATCCACAAACAGGATACAGCTGTCTCCAGGAGCTGGGGCCAGGTTTATTTATAATGACTTTGTGTCATTTTTCATTCTCCAAATTGTATGTGATCTCAGAGACGTAAGGAAAATAGTGACTAGACAAAGTGAGCCAATCTACAAGTCAACTGGGCTCCTGAAAACCTGCAGCCTATTTAGAGGCTGTTGAGAGGTTACTGAGAGATCCCAAGATGTATGCTGCATTGTGAGCAGCTCGTGAATGGCTTCTGACAGAAGGTGAAAAGTAAACATGGCAATATTTAAATTTTACTGCCCCATCACCATCTGATCACCTCCCCTCCCCACAGCTGTCCACTTGCTCTCACTCATCCTAAGGCACAATATTCAATACCATGGGTACCACACAGCTCATGCAGAATAATTTTTCCTGCACAGAAAAGTTAAGGCCTCCCTTTTTGATCAGAAGGGACACCTTCAGCAAGAGAAGATTCCATAATTAGCAGCTGCACATTTCACAGGTACAAGTATCAGCTAATCCACTGGAGGTGATTCCTCCACTTTACACATTTGAGCACAGGCCAGTATTCCCAAGTGCCTGTGCCCCAGATTCATGCTCAGCCTTTTAGATCAAGATGGCTTCTTTATTATATGAAACCACAGCCACTGGTACAAGACAAACAATTAAATGGTAGGGGACACTATGCCTTCACTGCTGACACTGGGTGAGACTGGTTTTCATGTCCATGACTAGCAAAATGAAGCAACAACACAGTGGTGCTTTTACTTCAATTAGATGGACACTTCTCCCAATTCCCAACCCCAAAACACAGACTTAATAAAAGATTAGGAGGGGAATGATGGGTTTCCTTTCAAACTCTTTCCACCCCAGAGTGAAAACTACCCAAACTGCAATGGGGGGAAAAGGGATAGAGAATCATCTTGGTGTCTCAGAGTAAATGTGCTATAAACGTGCTAGTATTTGACGTCAACTTCAAAGGCTTTTTATTCTCATTCTAAATACAAGAACAACTGGATTTAGTACCTGTTTTGTTCTCCATCTCCTCAAATGTCTAATGATTTAATTTAAAATTATTCCCTTTGATGTCAGTCTTGTATTAGCTTCTCCTTGAGGCAATTAGCTTCAGGAGAGTACAAACTGTTTGATTCTGTCTTACACTCCATGCAAGTCAAAGGCATGAAGGGATCAGAGGAGACTTGAAAAAGCTCACAGAAATCATTGCTGTAGCTCTAGCCCAGGCCCACACAACCATGCTGCTGCAGCTTCCCAGAAACACATCTTTAATCCAGATTTGCCCTCTGTGACACCCCATCACAAACATTATTGGATTCTCCTTTTCAGACAACCTCTGCAAAATTCCAAGCTTCTAAGAAGTCCTCCTTGCAATTCCAGTCCTAATTCTGACCAGCTGGACTTGCACTGAGCAATAGCAGCTGGTTCTGATGAGACACACATCTCATAAATATGTACTGGAATGCATAACATCTCATAAATACAAACTGGACAGGCAGATATGAATCAGGTAAAAATGAGGAGAAACTGGGAGAGCTAGAACATGCAAAAGCCAGCCGTCCCTCAGCTCAGGTCCAGCTTACCCTGATCCCTGCCAAGCACTTCTCTGAAGTACCAGTCTCTCATGAACTGGCTGCCTCCCAGACTGTCACAGATCTCTAAAAGGGAAAGCACCTTACAGACACTAACACTGTTGTGTTTAAGTGTGATCCTCCCCAGCAGATCCCAGCTTTCTTTGGAGCTGACAAGGATATTTTTCAGTAGTACCAAAGGGATAGTAGGAGTAAGTTTCTGTATCTTCAGCAGCAGGTACATATTGCTGGTGCCACAGCTGGCACAGCCATAAACTCGCACCATCAAGAACCTAAAAACTTTGACAATCACTCCTTTGAGCAAGGAGCAAAAAACCCCCAAAAGCCCAACACCGTACAATCTCCAGATGCATTTTAGAGAAGAACTATACCTGGACAGTTCTTCAGGTTTACAGTTAAATATCCTAAATATCCTTTCAAGTAATGAAATGGCCTCATCCAGACCCTGGGTTCAGCCAGACACCATCCAGGTGCCATGAGGTGTGCATGGGAAGAGACAAGCCTCACACAGAGCACATTTTACCTCCTCTGGAGCGACAGGGACAGTGCAGCGCTCCTTACAGGTAGAGAGTAGTCCCAGGAAGGATACGGCCACAAGCAATAAAACTGCACGTGAGAGCTACTTCAAGGAGCTGTGAATGCATGATACAGCTGTTATGCTTTGGAACTCACTGCATACTGAGTTCCCCTAAAAGGCTGCAGCTGGGCAACAGGGAAAGTGACTGTGGAGACCCACACTAAACCAGCTGGAATGTCCTGGGCCAGACAGGCTCTTACAGAGCACTGAGAAGCCTCCAACTTCTCCACAGCAGCTGAGAGCTGCCATACAAAGAAAATTTTCCAGGCAGCAAAGTGGAAAAGAGAGCAATAGACTCAGAAAACAGGGAGTCTTCAACATTGCAGACAGAGCGGGAGGCTACTGAAAATAGCAGGGAACAGACATGCAGCTGGGTCACAAGGACAAAAGTATGGCACGTTTCTTAGGATGTAGCCACAGAAGGGGACCGGGTAAAGTTTCTTACAAAATAAAAAGCTGCTAAGAATTCTGGACTTCAGAAGAAATAAAAGAGAAAAATTAGTTAAAAAAAACAAGGAAAGAATTTGTGCTGAGGTGTAGGTGTTAAAACTGCTGGTATAGGGGAATCATTTTCAGATTAAAATAGAAAAAGGGGTATCTGCCCCTGCTGATCTGCATTCTCCCTGTTTCAAGAATTACTTCATCCTGCTTTCGATGATACTAAAACGCTGCTTTCAACAGTCACAGGTCTTCTAGTATTTTCAATATATTTACTTTAAAGAAAGAAGCACAAACAAGATGCTTTGTCCCCTACATGCTCCCACCACAGGAAGATACAGTCAACAGTGCAGAAAGCCACATGATGGTGTTGTTGATGTGGGTTAGGATCTGCCTAGTCATCTTCACACTTCTGGCAGTTTCTCCTCAAACCTACACTTTTCAGGTGGAGAAGTTTCCTCTGGAGTTGTTACTATCCTGTGACTTATATATTCTTTAAAACGTCCTCTGCTTATTGCACTCTTTTCATCATTACAGTAACTTCATTTTAAAAACATTTAGTTGATTTGTCCAGCAGAGAGGGAATATGGATTCACCCCCATCCCAAGTTTAATATGAGAGCATCCCAACCAAAGCTATGTACAGACTAATCAGGACATCCAAAACCAAACAAAGATAATGAGGAAGCTGAATATATAAACAAACACAAATCCTACAGGATTAAGAGCTTCGGGAATCAAAGACCACATTTCAAAAAGCCTTTTCATTCTAACTTCAGATAAATTTTTCCCCATTTCTTCAACTCACATGTAAAAGCATATTCCTACTCTCTTCACTTCCCATCACTTCAAAAGACTGACTAACATCTAATGGCTGCTCAGGCCTGTGCAGAGGATTAAATTTGTGCTAGTAAGAGAAAACAGCTATTTAAAGGTAAAAGTTCACAGTGGGTACAAAAGCAGCCTCTACTTGGGTCCTAAAGACTATTCAACTGAAGTCTTCAACTTACTCCACCTACAGCAGGTCAACTAAACTGGTGAGACTAGCTCTATACACTGCCCAAGGGAGCTAAAAAAACCCAAAAAAACAACAAAAAAAACCCCGAAAAAGCAGAAACACCCCAATCTGTTAACAACAGATGTACTGCAACTACTACAAATTCAGGAGTAATAGGACACCAATTCTGGTTGCAGCTAGAAGATAGGTCTTAAAACTTAAGGAACAGGATTTAAATATTTTTTGAAACTGAAGAATCTAATTCGAAGATTGTTTTCACCAATTCCCATCATCAGAAATCTCAGCTCCTCCTCAAATATAAGAGGAACATTAATTTATATTCTCCCTTGTCCTGCTCAGTGAATGAAAGGCTAGTTTAAAAAGTGACTGAATACAGCAGACAAGAATGTCTTGATAGTTGGTTTGGGCCAACTTGAAGATTCTGGGCCTTCCTGCAAATACCATACCCTTATTATTATGTCTGACACCCTTCTGTCACTCTTATTTTGTGTCTGACAGCATCACACACATGGCCTAAGGCAGGCTTAATCTCACCCATGTTTTCACTGGCAAAAAAAAGTGACGTGACCCCAGCAGGATAGCAGGCAGCCTTAGAGCTCTGCTAGCCAGGACCAGTTGTGAATTGGGCTTTGCAGAAACAACACTAAGTCCTAAACGAAGCCAGACAATGAAGCTGTAATCAAAGAAAAAACAGGGAATCAGGGACAACTTCCCTCTTCCCAGCAGCAAGTGGGTTTGTGAATTCCTTCCTTTATGGCACAAGCCATTTAATAGGGTCTGACTTGGCACTTAGTGCACACCTTTCAAGCACAGCTGTAGTTACATTTCTCCAAGACAGGTATTATTTACACCTCAGCAATCCCACTGGAGAGGAGTAAAATATCCACCTTGAACCATGCATTTAGATGAGATCCAGTTTATACAAGTTTCAGCTCACAGTTTAGCACCTCAATCAACATTTGCATCAGGGCTTCTGTCACTACCAGCCACCTACGCTGCAGTCCTGCATCCTCTACAGCTTTCAAGTGGATACAATTTGTACCGAAGACGCAATACGCTGTACAGCTGCAAACTGCATAATGTTTCCATCATTAAGTGTCACTTGTTTTCACGTCTTAATTTGCATGCAACAGCCTGGAGTGAACCTTGGGTAGTATTAAGGCATCTCAATTAAACAGGAACAATTTCGTTTAGCTAATCAACCCTATTGTCCCAGCAAGCAAAAAGCTGAGCCACATGTATTGGTGTGGAAGGGAATCACTGGTAGCACAGGTTAGACCTTGAGATCCTGGAGAACAAGTAGACAGAAGCTTTTTTTGTCACAAGGCTGTGCAGAGTGGAAGACACGATCCCACAGCAAGTAACTGCTACCCCAACAATTTTTCTTTTGCTTACAGATGAATCACCAGCAAAGCTGGAGACAATATGCATAAGAAGCAATGGATGCCATTGTTTGAAACAGAAGACTGAATTTCAGATACAGAAGTATAAAAGGCAGTGGAATTCTGTATGATTAATGACTGTGGGGTCAGGAATCATGAGAAATCTGTGGGGGAGATCTTAGTGGTTATGGCTGTGTTTCAGTTTCACAAGAGGTTCTGACCCATGATGTGAAGTACTCTTGTAATGACAGACTGTGGCGGTAATTTGGTGGTTATGGGGAAGCTTGACAATATTGGCGGAGAATTCCAGCAGGAGTAGCTTGTAGGGAGGAACCTGTATGTACACACTGGTGAAAAGGAGTTTCAGATATTACTGACTTTTTTTAAAAGAATTATCTCATGATTAATTATATTCTTTGTTTCAAAGCTCAGAAATACTTGAGTGTAGTAGCCTGTCCTGAATGGCCCATCCCATCTCTTGGGCTCTTACAATCACATTATTCTGTTTACTAAGATGTTCCACCTCCCTCCGTTATTCTCTGTAAATTTTTCCACAGCACCAGGGATAGAACAACCTCATCAGTACCAGAGATGCTGATTAATGCACAAAGCAGCAATAAAATAAAAGATAATTATCTGTTTAACTGTCTAAATTATTAATTGAAGCAAAGGATTGCTATATTAAAAAAAATACAGAAGTACATAAAAGGGTTTATGAAGATAAATATCTCCTCTAACCTTGAAGAACTCAAGAGTTGCTTTGAGAACAAAACCAACCAAACTGAAACAAACCTTATGCAACCCAACTTACCTCAATTTGAAAGAGCTCCCCAGCACCTTCACAGTCATTGGATGTAATGATAGGGGTATGAATATGCACATATCCGTTATCCTGGAATAGACAGAACAGCAAAGTTAACAAGCTGTCACCCTGAAGGATGACATCAACCAGCACACACAACTAGGCCATTAGCTCCCAGCCAGGACAGCACATGCAGTCTTTTGGGCAGCTTCTGTCTTACAAGGACAGATGACAAAATGCTACCATGATTTACAAATCTGTGTTTACTACCTGTGTGTTTTCCACCAGGTTTCATAACCAAAAAAGATTTATGTCATTACTATGAGGTTTGTTTTTTTTTTTTTTGCACTGGCCTGTTTCCAGATCATTCCTCTTTCTTTTCACTTTGTCCAGAATTTTTATAGTTTCGGGCAGTTTCAATCCAGTTCACCCCTAAGACCTCAACACTTTGCTTCTTTCAGCTTTCTGGAAGGCAGTGGTTAGGCAAAGGACACTCTTTGCGTGCTGCATTAAGAGAAGTGATCAAATGTGTTGGATGACAAAAATCACACACTGGATGAAAGAGATCTTAAAAACACCCAACCACCAATAAAGTGTCAGTCCTACCTTGCATCCTCTAAGATACTGAAGTCAAGCTGATTTTAAGAGACAGAGTATACCCTGTCTTGATCATGTTCTAGGTACCTGCAGAATTACACATTCATGTAATAGCTCACAAATCCAGCAGAGACTTCTGAAACCAGTAAGGCTGAATGAAGAGAGACCCTGCTCTCTGGATTTCTCTGCAGTGCAGACATAGGCTTTTAAAACAGCTGCAACCCAATATTCAGTGGATGGATACATCTCAGCTTCATAGCTTTTACCAAAATAATACAATTGAGTCACATGAGAGGTCCTGGTCCTTATCACCAGCTCCTTAAGGGACTAGGAAGACAGGAGTAGTATTTACTGCCCACTCTGAGAATCAAACTAAAATTAATTTGGATCAAAAACCTCATATGAACATGCAATGCATTTTGTGGGAGTACACAACCAAGAGGGAGCAAAGTCCCTGCAGTCAGCTCTAGGCTACCTTGGTTCTTCACTGGGATCCAGTTACTGCTTAGAAGGAAGTCTTGGATCCAGAGCTACTTGCTTTGCCAGAAGAAGAAAGTTTCACTCTACCAGTATAAAATGCAGGCCTTTGACACATTTCCCTGCATATTCAGAGCCTTGCTGGGTACATGGCCTCCCAGCTCTACAGGAGATGTTTGAAAATGCCTAAATTCCTCATACAGTGGTAGCAGTTGCTGTAAAGAAGCACTCTTCACCTAGATCCCTTACATGCTTTGGAAAGTAATGCAAACTGCACAGATCTGAAATAAGAGAATCCCCTTAAAACCTCTTGGATAATTCCCTTTATAAAAGCTTCTAAAATAATTCAAGTTACATTACTGAGCCTCTCACAAACCTGGAACTTAATGTACAGAATGGAATTTGCCATTCACAATGCAACTATCTTACTGTGCCTAGGAACAATGTTTCTATCCCACATGGACCACAATTCTCAGAAGAAGATTTCAAGAGGACATTTTAGCTTTCAACATCCCAACCAAAGGCACTTGGCACTAGGCATTCATTCCTGGAAATTAACAGGCTAAAAAAAGAGAGGTTTTTAAAGTTACAGAGTCTTGATAGCTTTGTGTATTCAAACAGCTCCACTTACTTTCTTCCACCATTAAGCTCCTTACAGCTTTGCCCAATGAAAATGCTCAAATTGTACTTTGTAGCTATGGTATGTTCTAACATTGTCAAGTCGGAAATTGCAATATTCTTGGGATGATGCAAGTGGCAATTTTAAGACTTCCTTCCATTAGAGACAGAATAAAACCACAGACATTCCTGGTGCTAGGAGAGTTCTCACACAAATATCAGGTCTGGGACCAGATCTTCCTTATTCCTTTAAAAAGAACTTTAGTGTAGCTGCTGCTGCTAAATTGATGATAGATTCTATTTTTTAAATTATTTTTTTAATAGAGCTCCGCTCTTGAGCACTGTAAACAGGAAGGTATGTCAGAGCCTGAGCAGGGGTTGATTTGGAGAAGCAAAGCCTGAATTTTGTACCTCGGGGGTTTTGTACCTCGGCTGCCTGCGGTGTCCAGGTCGGGAAGCACAAACTGTTGTAGGCAATGCCATCTAGTGGCTCGACGGCGGCACAGACTGATTCCCGACAGAGCTGGCCTATGTCTTAGGAGCAGGCACAATCCTGAAACCAGCAACTTTACCTGACACAGGACCGCACCCCCCACCACAAAAGTCATTCAAACACCATGCAATTCCACACGGACAGTTCTTAGAGAAAGCAAGCCTTCTTTGCCACTGCAGGCAACAAAGACCAGCAAACCTGGAACCAGAAATTCATCTCAACACTTCTAACCTGTTTCTTGGGCCACACTAATTATTATGTATGAATTTTGTCATCAGAATTATCTGAATGTGATTCTATTCTAGCTGAAGCCAGCTTATCTAAACTAAAACATGTTTATTTACAGGAACAGCTTTAAAGAAAGGCTCATGCATCCTAAAGAACTTGCTACCTTTCTTTTTCTAGTCACACATGGTCTCTATGTGACATCTAGCATCAGAGCTAATTCACTGCTCCCCTGCCTGCACAAAGCCCGTGCTGTGCCCACAGCTTAAGAGTGACACATTCAGAAAACACAGGTGGCTCCCACCCATCAGTGTCAAATGCATCAGACCAGGAGTCTCTTAATATCAGCCAACAGCATCCCCACAGACTTGTACTGCAGTAAGAGGCAAGAACTGAGAATAACATGAAGCTCTGAGTCAGTTTGTCTGTGTTCCTGTATCACAGATTTTTCCATGTGGGAGGATGTTTCTGTCCAAGGACCATAAGGTCACTGCAGAGGATGGGTTAAACAAGTCCATATTATGTTGTGTTCCACAGACCACACACTTGCAGGCAATTACACTGCAATTCTGTGAAAGGGATAAATAACAGGAAATGGGTGGAAAGGCACTGACAGGCCACAGATGCACTAACCTGGTCATAAGCAACAGTCTGGCCAAGGCCCAGCCAGGCTCAGACCTGGAAAAAAACCACTGTGAGCAAAATCCATATCCTGCAGGCAAGATGTCATGCTCCTTCCCTCCTAACCTGCTCCCATAAAGACAGCCTGGGTGGAGTGTTCTACAGGAGAGGCTGGATACAGAAGGGACTACCTGGAAGAAGGAGTGGATGCCTGCAGTGGCTTCGCTGCGGATTCGCAGGAGGGCGCCCAGCGTGTTGTTCCTGCAGCGCAGGTGAGGGAACTGCCGGACGTACTCCAGTGGGTGCCTCTCCTTCATTTTCAGGGGAAACGACTGAAAACAACAAGGAAGTCAATGTAAGAGGATGAGAACTTGGGAGTCCATGCAGTTTTATTGCTATTGCTAGGGAGAGAATGCCATCTCTCCCTACTAAAATTCAATCACCATCACAGAGTACAGAAGAACTAGATGCTTTTGCCTATCTTTTCTGCTTATTTTGTGTATTTTACAATGCTTAGAGCAGAGAAAGATCCACCAACATCAGAAGAAGTATTAGCATTCTAAAACACTCCACCTTTTGGATGTTGAGCTCCCCTGAAACCCAGCTGTTCACCTCACTGCTGCAACAGCAAGCTGGTTCTGAAGATGCCTGTGCCAGATATGGCTCTTCCAACTGCACAACCTAGAGTGTCGTGCCACTTCCACTGCTTCTCCAATTCATGGTAAGCCACCTGCACAGGTTAAGTGCTTCAGGGTGGGACTAAGGCATACTTTTAACTGTATGTTAATACACATTTTCCATGGAGAAATGGCTCTGTCACAGAAGCGAGCTTTCATGGAGATCCAATGTTTCTCCTTTGATGTGCTCTACAGACACTGCTGACAAATCAAAGTCTGCAGGACCACTCAGATTTAAAGAAAACACAGTTGCAAGCATGCTTTGCTGGATACTTGGACCTTCAAGAATAGATTTCCAGCAGTCCTGCTATAGTGACATACCCAAATATCACAAGGTCCCACCACATTAATGGCTTCAGCTTGCAGCTCCATGTTTTGCATCCTATGAGGACTTTTGACAAGCTTCCCTTGCACTTCCACTGAGCTTCCAAAAGTCAGGTCTCTAAGAAACAAAGAAAAAACAACAGCTTAACTGGGTGCTGATACAACTACATTCAGAAGAGAGATTCCTGTTAATTTAGCTGGATTACTTAGGATGATAAGAGATGCTGTAGCCATAGAGCTTAAGTGACGAAATGAAAAATTATTAATGCAGAGGTGGGAATGGGAAGAGATTCACAAAGCTAGAGAAGAATTTAGGACAAGGCAGGAATGTTGGACAAGAGGGGAGAAAAGTGACAGGTTTTTATTAGAAGAGGCTCTTGGTGGAGACAAATGTGGTTGGCGAGTCCCTGGCACAGGGAAGGAGGCCTAAGCAGACCCCTCCAAGCACTGATCAGCACGTGTATTTCTCCAGTTATTTCAAATGGACCTACTTCTTTTCCAGGCTGGGATCAGCAACCACCTGGAGGCTTTCCAGAGAACTCCCATCATTTATGTGCAGGAACAAAACTTCCTTCTGGGATCGGACAGAGCGAACCCAGCCCTAGAGGTAAAAGAACAAGAGATTTGTTATTTTTTGGCAGGAATGCCGTGTGCTCATGCTCTTCTTCCATCTGAGCTGGACATACCACTTCAGGCCTAATTCAGCTTCTTACTGAAATCAAAGTAACTGTTTCTTTAGAGGCAAAAAAATAATGACAATAAAAACAAAAAGAGAAAAAAAGTTAGTGTCAGTTTTTCTTTTCACTTCAAAGCAGAGAGAAACAAATCCTTAGGCAGAGACATCTTTCTGAGGCAGAGTCTCTTCCCAAGAACAGCAAGGATTAAAAAGATGTACCTGCATCTTTGGGGAGCTGAGAATAAAGAAATCAATGAAGTGCTCTGAAGATGTAAAGTGTTTCAGCAAAGTACATATTCCTATTGGTAATGTCCCTTCCAAACTCTTCTTACTAAAGCAGGAGAGACCAGTCATGCACTATTCTTCATTACAATACATGCAAGACCATTCTGATGGTTTTCAGTATCAGTTTTGTTGTTCTATCCTTGTAGAAAGGTTCCAATGTTTCAAATCTTCAAATCTGTTCACTAGAGGTTTATGTGCCCTAAAATGCTGGACTGCTAAAACAATGTTGCAGCCAATAAATTCACATGAAAAACTAGGTATTCATACAAAACAAAAATAAAAATGATTGCACTGGATGTTTCTCCTTTCATCTCAAAAACCAAGACTGCTTCATTGAGCCCATGGGGGGGAAAAAAAAAAGCTATTAAGAAAAAAACTTAGAAATATTTTGTTCAGTTTTATGAAAAGAATAAAACTAATGATACCCCAATCCTTTGTAACAGCAAAACAGGAAAACCAACCATGTACAGTGCAGGCTAATGTCTTAATTTGAGTTTGTTAATGACATATAATTTTTAATTACTTTTTTATGGGAAATGTTATGTCAGTACCAAGGCAGCAAGCAAAATTTAACTCCCATAGTTGCTCCTCAGCTGACCAGAGTTGAGACAAAGCTGGCCTTCAAAGCAAAATTATCTGCTGGGGGTCTTGCAGATCATCTTCTAACAATATTGTAGAGAACAAATAAAACCAGGGCTGATTAAACAACCAAACTGCCTCTTTTCCAACCAGTTACATCTTAACTGAAGGGACCAAATAGTCCCAATGACTTCAAACTGGGCAAGTGCTTTAGTAATTTTAAACCAGACAAACCAATGCAAACCATCTACTTCTGTCACCCAGACAGAACAAACCAAGAATTAAACAGCCTGAGAAGTAAAGTGTGTTATAGTTTAAAAAATTACTACTAACACAGGCAAAGCATTACACAGGCTTGTATAACATGCTTTCCATATTCCAGTAAGAACCACGGAAGATTTTAAAGATGTGAATCTAGTGAGTCAGACAGAGTAAAGCACCCCTAGTTTCTAGTTCTACCCAAAGGAAGAACTAATGCAAGAAACAAGATCATCTGGGCATCCTCTTATTTGTATGGTGAAAGTAAAAGGTGTTTCCTATGGTATCATGCCTGAAGCTGTTGCGCTTATCCTCTGTATTCCAGGAAATCCCCAGAACACAGCATGTATGTTATATTGGATTCATGTTTAATGTATAGTGGCAGACATTTTTCCTCAGTTTCCCTCCCCACAAACACTCCTTAACAAAACACACCAAAAAAATGAACAAAGAAACTTTTTTGCCACCTCATCAAGCTGTTCTGGAATCGATTAAATAAGAGAAGGAGTCTTGCATCCGGCAATAGGAAGTAAAAGCATACCCACAGGCTTGCACTGGAGCAGCAGAGGCTGTGGCAGCAATGTTCTGACCACTTCACACCTCACCAGAATGAGTGTATAACAAGAGTGACAATCCTGACTGTAACAACTAGACTGCACGGTCCAACAATCTGGCCATTATAAGGTTGGATTTAAGCCAGACCAGATTCCTAGCCCATTTTAATACAAAGCCCCCACATTTTGGTAGCAAAAGGGAAGAGGAAAGCAGCAAGGGTCTGGAGGACAGGGAAGGGGAAAGAATGCCAGTACTGCAAATTTTAGCATCAATTTATTCTAGCTTGCATTATTAACCAAACTACATCCAAAAAGAACCAACACTGGATGAGCTTTTTCCTACCCTATTAGGCTTCACCTACGTGTGAGTAGGAACACCAGCGTGCTACAAACTGGGTTTGTTTTTTTTTTTTTTCAGTAAAATCACAAATGGCTTGAATTCAAAAGGAACTTAAAGGTTATCCAGTTCTAACCCCACTGCCACGGGCAGAGACACCTTCCAGTAAACCAGGTTGCTCCAAGCCCCATCCTGGCCTTGAACACTTCCAGGGAAGGGACAGCTACATCTTCTCTAGGCAATGTGTGCCAGTGCCTCACACCCCTCACAGTGAGACATTTCCTTCTTATAAATCCATGCACTTTCAGTTTTGTTTAAAACTGCTACCAAACACCCTAGTCTTTTTCATATTCATCCAGAAATACTGATAACAGCTCTGCATTGAAACAGGGACTCTGTGTGTGCAACCACCACTCTGCCAGCTGGAAACACCACAAAACAGGGGAACAAGCCTATGCCAAGGAAAAGTGCCCCATAGCTAAAACGGGCTATATATAATAGACCGTTAATTCCAGGATATCTTGGCTCACAAGAGGAGCTAAATACAAACGTCAGTGGAAGTGTTACCGATGGTTCTACTGACACAGCTCTAAACCTGGACGTACGTGGCACAAGCCCTGTGAAAAAGCTTTAACACCAGCAGCACACCCAGGCGCTGCTCCCCGGAACAGAGCGGGCGATGAAGCCAACGTGGCGGAGAGGAGCACACTCACTGCGACCCACCGCAGCTCCTCCGCACGGGCACGCTGACCCCGAGGCTGCGCTGGCCGCGACAACAGCGACCCGAGCACGCACAGCGGGGCAACACTGCCAGCGCCTCGGCACGCCGGCTCCGGGAGCCGAGCAGAACGCTCTGCAGGGCCCCCGCTTCCCCCGCCGGCCCAGCGCCCGGCCCGGGCCGCGGGCACGCACCTGCACTCTGACCGCGTCCGCCGGCCGCCGCGCCCCCAGCGCCTCGCGCACCCG